TCCCTTCCTCTCTGAAATCAATAAAAATATAATTATATATATATTTGGCAATATATTTTATTTTACTTTTTATTTTTATTTTTTGCCAATCTGACAAAAAATAGGTATAATTTTGAATCATTCACACTGAAGACCCTTTAATACAGTTCCTCATGTTGTGGTGACCCCCAACCATAACATTATTTTTGTTGCTACTTCATAACTGTAATTTTGCTACTGTTATGAATCGTAATGTAAATATCTGATATGCAGGATGTATTTTCATTGTTACAAATTGAACATAATTAAAGCATAGTGATTAATCACAAAAACAATATGTAATTATACATGTGTTTTCTGATGGTCTTAGGCGACTCCTGTGAAAGGGTCGTTCGACCCCCAAAGGGGTTGCTTCCCACAGGTTGAGAACCATTGATCTAAGGAAAAAGAGGTCAGAGCCCCTAACTAAATAGTCAGGTATTGCATGTTTCACTAGGTGAAAATCACTGCTATATTTTATTAAACCTGTTGAGGTCTTTCTAATGTGCAGATTTTTATAGAAGTTACAGGCTCAAGGAGTGAGTATCCTATCTAATAAAGGAGAAACATAGTAATTAGCCGTACCTCTGCTACCCTTCCCATTGGCTAATCAGGGCGATATGCAAATTAACTGCCAGCCAAGATGGCGGCCAGCTTAGAATGTCTATGATAAAAAAAGACATTATAACTAGTGTCTGTGAGGATGTGGAGAAATTGAAACTCTCTGACATTGCTGGTGGGAAGGCAACATTGGGCAGCTACTGTGGAAAGCAGTTCAGCAGTTTCTCGAAATGTTAAACCTCGAGTTACCATTGGGCAGACAGTGCACCATATGACAGCTAGAAAGCTCCTCCCCCGGATCTCTGCTCAGCTCTGCCCAAGTCTCACCTTCTCCACGAGACCTTCCCTGAGCATCCTGTTTAGTACTGCCTGCCCTCACTCTCATCCTATGCCACCAGATCCTGCTCTTTCTTTTCATGTTTCCATAGACTTTCCATTTTACCTTCTAACCGCCTACATAATTTACTTTATTATTCTTTTATATGTGTTGTTTTATCATCCATCTCACCCCATTGGGATGTAAGTTCATCCAGGATTGGGATTTATTTTTTCCCTTCACTATCATAACCCAAGCACTTAGAACAGTGCCTGGTGTATATGTAGGGCCTCAGTAAATATTGGCTGACGTAATAAATGAACTGAGATTAGAGCAGAACGATGAAGCTGGTTGTGTCGGGATCCTCAAGACTACCCTCCCATTCACTGATTCACTAGAAGGACTCAGGGGACTCAACACATGTCTGTACTCACAGCTAAGATGTATTACAGCAGCTGGTAAGGATGCACAGCTGGATCATCGGGGAAAAGACACAGGCAGAGTCTGGAGGAATCCATGCTCAGACTTCCTTACGCTCTCTCATTCCCAGGAGGGGAAGGCCATATAGAAATGTGGCCACGTGTGTGATGTTTTTGCCCAAGGAAGCCCTTTAGAGACTCAGCACCCAGGATTTTTCTTGGATGCTGATCATGTGCTAAAGTTTCAGTCTTGAAGAAGGAAAGCAGGTGTTCAACATAAACCACGTTGTTTGTATGGTTTAGACACAGCAAGCCACCCTTATCATGAGGCAAAGTTTTATCTGAATGTAGAGAATAATTTACTAGCTAGGTTCCCAGATGCCAGTCACATAGACCTTTCTAAGATAGCAGTCTCCAGCCTGCTGTGTTTACTCTTTTTTTCTGAACACGAATTGACATTAAAATACGATCCTTAAGTATAATGTAAAGTAAAAGAAAATGTTAGATTTGTGAATGTTTCCTGACATAGTTTTTCCTTTGTATAACGGAATGTAGTCATTCCTAGGCAAAATATGGACTTTCTCTAGACCTCTGAGTCTTTGATCTTTTAAATGTCATATCATTTAAGCTGAGTATAGAGTTTTAAATTCTTTTTTTCTTTTATCCATTTATAGATCTTGGGATTTCTGGCACCACATCCAAAAAGTATGTACTTTTTAAGCTATCTGATTTTGTTGAGACAATGTATTTGTACTTATTTGAGCCTATCAAACGTTGTTTTCATTAAAGTAATTACTCATTCTCAGGCTAGGTAATTTTAGAATTGGTTTTTATTTTATTCTGGGTTTTTCTTTTTGTTGTTTTCTACTGGAACATTCAAACTATTGGCTATGACAATGAAAAGGAATAATATATTTTAGTCTCCAAGATTGTCATGAACTTTTATCCTATATAATAAAAGTGTAGTATACAAATTGTCCTCTCGACCGGGAGTTCGACCAGGGCGTGGGGCCAGCCAGGGGAAGGGAGGGAGGCCCTGGCTGACAGCCGGCAGCCACTAGGGACCCTACCAGTGTACGAATTTTGTGCACTGGGCTTCTAGTCTATAATAATAAAAGGGTAATATGCTAATTAGACCAGACATGCTTCCGGACAAAGCCTGGGCTGGAGGGAAGCAGCCCGGGTCCCAGGTGCCTGCCAGTGGCCAGAGGGAAGCCGATGCCTGCAGCTGAGGGAAGGAAGGCCTACTCTTGCACGAATTCTCATGCATTGGGCCTCCAGTTGTAGAATAAAAAGAAATATGAGGGCAGAGTCACAAGTAACACCAATATTTAAAGGTCAGGGAGAGAAGAAGGAAACAGCAAAAAACAAACAAACAAACATACAAAAACCCTGTGAAGAAGCAGCCAGTAAAACTGGTATGAAAATAAGAGATCAGTAAAAATAAAGACAAGCAAATAAGGTGTTTTGAGGAGGAAGTGATTAAGTGCTGGCTGCAGAGGTAAAATAGGAATTGAAAAATGACCACTGGGTATAAAAACATGAATAACATGAAAATAAATTAGTTAACTTGACTTGATAAAATATGTTTCAGCAGAATAGTGAAGATAAAAAGCCAACAGAGATAGAGTCAAAAGAAAAAATAGAGGAATTGGAGAATATAACAACTCTTAAAAGCAATGATACTATTAAAAAATGAGTAAATTAATAAAGTTGTAGCTAGAAAGGGATGTGGTCACAAGGTAAGGTTTTTAAAGAAAAAAAAAAACTAGGTAGAAAGGAAAACATTGATAAAGCAGGAGGAAGGAGGGGCAGTGGTAAGAGATGTGTCCATGAGTAGCTACAGGTAAATAGTGTCTGAGTGAGTAGCGTAGCATTTGACATAGCACAGGGTTCCTCTCCACGAGAAGGAAGACAGTGTGTGTGGGTATAGAATAAAGCACGTTGAGGGTGTGGAGGTGGAAACTTGTGGCAGTTCTCTTTAGGCAGCTGTCTTCAGCTGAGAGTAAAGTTGGGGAGCAGGTACTGGAGGTTTGAGGAGAAAGGAGAGAATATGACAGACATTTAGGAGAGTCCATTGATTTAGTGAAATACACTAAGAAGCCACAGTAAGTATCCATTTGAGATTAGTGATAAAAAAAAAAAAAACACCTCAACTAAGACCAGTGTATATGATTATGTGTTTTCCGTCAGTTGCATTTTGCAACAGGGCACCAGTTCAGGAAAGAGGGAACATTGGACTTAACCATGTTATGAATTTCCAGGAAAAACAACACAAGAGAAGAAGGAACAAGGGAGTCGAGGAGGATACCAGGGAATGATTATAATGATAGACTATGGAACCTAAGCTGGAGAAGGAAGAAACATAGATTCTTTAAGAGAAGGATGAAGAACAATGTAAAGAATTATTGGAGTTGAGGTGGTTCAGGGGCTGAAACTGGAAAATGGGGTGGCTGGAACTGAGATAATGTAGCAAATACAGTACAGGTAACAAGGAAGCTTCTTCATGTAAACATTAGTGCATGCCGCCTGGTGCGGCTCCCACTTACAGTCCTGGCATCTGTCCCCCGTGTGTTCAGGCGGGCAGTGGCAGTAAGGCTGGTTCCCAGCAGTCACACTGCAGGTCCCTTCGTTCTGACAAAAATCCTCACAGACCGTCTTGCCACAGTTTGGTCCAGTGAACCCCAGCGCACAGCGGCAGGTGGGTCTCCCTATTGGAAAAAGGTAATAAAAAGGAAATTACTGAGCTGAAATGGTTTATTTTCATGGAGTCTTCACTAGATAAGAATCAGGACGCCAGAGTTTCCATCAAAGTTGGTCTCTTACTTAAATCTGTGACTTGAGGCAGTAATTTGACCTCTTTGGGTCTCAGTTTCCCAATGTTCCCATGATGCTTAGATTCGATAACTCAGGTTCACATCTGGCAAAATTAGCAGAGCTCATTTTATACATAATTATATATACACAGAAATATTTTATGCTTTAAAGTGCTTTCATTATTCTCTGTATTACTCTTTCCTGGCCCATTTTGCCTTTTCAATTATGTTTGCTCTACTCATGTGGTAATGCAGATTGTATTGGCCATTAGAGGATAAAGCAGAGAAAATTATATTTCCCCGTGTTGATTCATGTACCAACTATTTCTGGATCTACATAAAATAGAGCTTAGACTTATAATAAATAAATATTTTAATAAATTTAAAGTGGACATGTCATCTATACTAATATTTATGAACGTTATTTTATTTGATTTAAATACACATACTGTGATTAGATATAAGCACTTACACAGTCCTATTTTATTTCATTTTGATATTTTTCTTCATAGTAAGGACTGTCACTTCTAGTCTGGTAAGATGATTTAGAAGTCTAATGTTAACAGTACACAATAGCAAATCTGATGGATCAACTTTAGATATTTTTCTTTATTTGCTCTGTGGGAACTAACATCGCAATGAAAGCTGAACAATCCTTTAAGGTGTTTTGAACATAACAGTTAACTGCTATATCAGGAATGAGTCTCTCTAACTGCCTGGACTGTCAAGAACTGAGCAGAAAATTGAGTGCACAACTAGCTCTGTAGATGTGGTGAACAAAACAAAATTAAATTAATGGCTATCATTTGTAAGGGGGAAAGAATGAGGTTTAGAAATTGTACAGATATAAAATAATAACATCAAATAGCATAAGAAAGAAATTCAGTTATAGATCTCAATGAACTAGAACTCAGAAAATGACACAGGGTTGCTAACATCAGAGACTATCCAAAAATCTCTCACTTTTGTAGAAATAAAGCATTGTTAGAGTGGCCAGAAAAATTCATGAATGTAATGCTTGAGGCTTGAGGTATGAAAGTGATATGTTTTCTTTATTGCCATAGATTCTATATTCTACAATGAAGGACAATTCTATGTTTCTACTTTTTTTTTTTTTGAAAAGCATTCTTAGGTGAATAAAATGTCTCCAAATAAAATCTACCTGCATTTCCAAGAGAAGGAATAAATTAAAGTTTCACAATTTACTTATTTAGTTTACTTTGAAAGGGCTCCACACACTTAAACATGCTAGAAGCTATTGCTTCTCGATGAAGAAAATTATATACATTTTTATGTTGAGTAGTATTGCTTTAAAATTTATTTATAAATGACATTAGTCTAGTGCAGGGGTGGGCAAACTTTTTGACTCAAGGGCCACAATGGGTTCTTAAACTGGACTGGAGGGCCGGAACAAAAGCATGGATGGAGTGTTTGTGTGAATTAATATAAATTCAAAGTAAACATCATTACATAAAAGGGTACGGTCTTTTTTTTTTTTTAGTTTTATTCATTTCAAATGGGCCGGATCCGGCCCACGGGCCGTAGTTTGCCCACGGCTGGTCTAGTGGCTAGATAAATTCCTATTAATAGGTTGATAAACAAGATAAATTTTATATACATTAAAAGCTGATTAACCTTGCATTTTTCATTACCAGAAAATGGCTTTAAAACTTGTAGATAAAGATTTTTCTTATAATGGTAGTGAATTTTCTAGTTGTTGATTACATACCTAGAAAATATCTTCACTTAAACAAAAATAGGTGAAACATAAAGACACAAACAATAGAATAAATGGTGGTAGGAAGATAAAGAAAATAGTTATTGTTGGAGCACAGTAACCAGGGAAAATGAAAACCCTGAACAAAAGAAGGGATATCTCTTCATCTACGAGAACCAGTGAATGGCTTACAGAGAAATAAAAAATACAAACAGGAACACGAATGCACAGAAGTTAAATGTGAAACACACAGTACAGAACATACAGAAGAAATTGATTGCATTAGAACAACTAGAACAAGTGCATACAGAGAACTGAAACATTGTAGATTTAAACTTTTCTACATTACTTTCCAGTTTATTATTCCTTGTTTTTTAAAATCAGGAGTGAAAAGAGTAAAATGATAGAAGTTTGAAAGAAACAAACACAGCGGGCTGCTAAGGCGCCTGCAAATCCCTCTATCTCCACCACTCAGAGACACAACACCCTGCTTTCATCTCATCTACAGCTGTTTGGAAAGTAAGGCAGTGACCAGGTTGTCTCCACCCCCCCCCCCTCCCCCACCCTGCCCCCGCTGGCATATGCCTACATCATTTTGAGTCTGGCCGAATTATTTTTAAAAGGCTCCCATTCCTCTTCCTTTGAAGAGAAGATTTATTTTTGACAAATAGAAATCTCTTCATATTCAGGGGGATGTTCTCTAACGAGAGAAACTGGGTGATGGTACAGCAGATCTTTTGTTTGCTGATGAGAAATGGACCATCTGTTGCAGAATTTTGTCATGGGCTCCACCTAATTTTTTCAAGACTCTCTCTGGGTACACCCTTACAAGTGGCACTGGGTTCATTTGGAAAGGTTTTTAGGTGGCTGGATTTGATTTTGACATTTGAAAAGGAAACAGCACAGTTACAATGACTAAGGCACAGCCGGGAGCTGGAGCGCTGACAGCCTTCAAGGGTAGCACAAGCAGGAAGAGCACCGATTGACCCGAGGAAGGAGGGTAGGAGCCATTTGCTAGCTCTGATAGTCTAGTTTCTATAGCATTTTTAGCTCAGACTGAGGAGTGTAAGTTGTCTGACTGTCTGTTTATAAACTATATGTGCCAATTACTGGTTGTGAGACCATGGGCAAATATCACCTCTCTGCTTATTTCCTTGTGTGTAAAAAGTGGATAGTAACAGTACCTACCTCATGAGTTATTGTGTAAAATTATATAGAATAAATGAGATAATATATGCAAAGCATTTTTAACCATGTTAGACGTATAGAAAGCACTGTTACATTTTAGATATGATTATTCTTATTTTACTGAGTGACATTCACCATTTATAGGCATGACTGACTGTCTACCAAGGTACTGCAACAATCTAAGAAAATCATTCTGAAAATGCTCTTAAGTTACACATTTTATGCCATTATTTATTTAATATAAAATTAAATTTTAAATGTGTTTGCATTGTAGTGATGGGATAGAGCAGAAATTCTCCATTAACTTTATTCTCAGACTGCAACATTTCAAACTTTGAAGGGTGGTTTCTTCTCCTTTACCTTCTAAATATGCTTAATCCTACTCACACAATACACACATAACAAAAAAGCACACCTAATCTTTGTCATGTTCTTCTACTTGTACAACTTCAAATTTTGGTACATCCTTGAACTTTTTAAAAAGAAATCTACACTCACTGCTTCCAATTCTACCAGTAGATGACCAAACAACAACAACAACAACACACCAAAAACAAACAATCAAAAAAAGGTCATAAAGTCACATTCCAATCCCTCACAGGGTTTACAGTTTTAATTTTTTAAAATATACAAAATAATGTGTCTTAATCGGTTACTTCTCTTTGTTTTCTCAATAGAGAGGTCAGATTTTTCAATATGTACATATTGCTCAAGTAAGTTAATTTTCATTCCCTAGTGGTAAGAACGGTTTAGAAATGAAGAAGTTAACATGTGGTGTTGCCTTTACTATATATTTATGTACTATTGCAATGTTTACCTCAAATCTCTTAGTCCATAAATCAATTAATTTCTTCTCAATTATTATTGTCCTCAAATTTTCTTCATAATTTTACGCTGATTAACAGATACCCTTGAAAATTCTACCCACTTGGCCTCTAAGACACTATTATTATTGACTTCCCTATCTTTTTTTCTATTCTTTTTTAAAAATCCCAATTGTCTTTATGTTTACTCTTTCTGTCTCTCAAAGAAATGTTATTCCAAACTCTCTCTGGTGATATTATCCAACATTATGGCTTCAATAATTATCTCTGTATCTGAATACCTCTGACCCAATTTTCTGATTATGGGCTCATTCTCCATACTAAACTTCAGACCATATTGTATATTGTATATCTCTCACTGCTCAGTAGATTCAACTCCTCCCACAATCCCCAAGAGATAAAAATTTTGTCATGAACATTGTTCTCTGGGGATACACAATTTTTAATGCTATAACATTCGCTTTTACATATGCTACATTTTATATATTAACTATTTGAATTCTAATTTTATCTCAAATTTATATTATAAATAACACTATATTGAACATTTTCACACCCAAATCCTATATAATGAAAGCCTAATATGCAAATTGTTCGACTGCTCACTATGACATGTGCTGACCACCAGGGTATGGCATAGAACATGGCGGGCCTCGGTGACACAGTGCTGACAGCGGGCGGCAGTTGAGGTGCTGCCAGCCCCAATGGGCCCGACAAGAGCGGGACCACAGTGGGATGGTGGAGTAGGTGAGCAGGCAGCACCAGGCCAAGGCGGGTGCGAGCGGAGACCCGATTGCCCTGCCGATCACCCTGCAGACAGCAACCAGTGGCAGTGGTGGGAGGTGGGGCCGCCACCGACTCCCAGGCATTGAGGGAGCCAGTTGAGGGGCCTGGCCCCGATTGATCGCCCCACAGGCGGGATGGTGGAGCAGGTGAGGGGGTGGCACCAGGCCACAGTGGGGTGCCAGGCAGGGTTGCAAGGCTGGGGGCATGAGCTAGGGGCATGAGCTGGGGCCCAATACCCACAGGCCACCCTGAGGGACCCCACTCATGCATGGATTTGTGTATGGGGCCTCTAGTATTGTACCAGTATAATCCTTGGGATATGTTTGTAACAGTGACATTATTAAGTGAAAAGACATTAAAACTTTGAAAGGTTTATACCA